CTATAGCTATTAATATGGACGACTACGAATTGGTTCCCGGGTTGTCTACAGGTAACATACGAGTTGGTTCCCGGGTTGTCTACAGACGGGTTGAATCCATTAAAAAATATGGTACTATTTGAAGAAAAAAAGTTGATTTTGCTATTGGTACACCTGCGTGTTTAAAAATTTTGAAATTGTCATAAAAAAGTTGCCTGTTAAAAATAAAGAAACACGTCTTTTTTTCGTTTTAACGAAACTCCATGTCATCGTTAAATAATCGTTTAAAAACACCGCGTAGAATGACATAAGATATAATCGGTATATATTATATAAAAGGCCGTTAGTATACCGAGGTCTGAGCCACTCTGAGGGCCTCTAAAATTATCATTTTCCCGGGCTGTTTTTTTCTCCCAGTCCGCCACTGGAAAATGCTATAAAATACGGTGGATTAATATAAGCTTGTACCTGTTCTGCCCGAATAACCAATGGCAACCAATAATAAATAAATACCAATTTCTACTGTAGACTGTAACCAATGGCAATTATTAATAAATAAAAATAAAATTTCCAATTTTCATCGTGAACATCAATGTCCCCTATTTGAGCACCTATTTAAAATGCGAATTTCGGCAAATTCTTTCTTATTGCACTGTGAAAATATGAGAAAAACCTATATTCCAAATTTCACGTTCGTAAGTTGTGTAGTTTCTGAGTTACAGCGATCAGTGACTAAGTGGTATTTGGATTTTATATATATAGATTATTATGAATAGAAACGGCGGCATTGACGAGCGGTGCGGTGGAGGAAATTGTTTTGACCACGCAACTGGTCATGCTTTTACGCTCATATTGAATGACTGTAAAAGTATTAAATTGTATTTTATATTTTAATTTAATTTTAAGTATTAATATTATGTGGATAACGCAAAGAAGATAATTTTTTCTCAATAGCGGTGGTCGGTGATAGTTCTTTATTATTAATTATTATACACCAAGACTTTATGGGGACCCCCTAAAAATATTCCAACAATGTGGCCTGTGGCAAAATGGTCCCGTTGCCCCCCCCCTCTGAACGACCCTGATCGTCAGTAGTACTGTTTTATACGTTATATGGTCATATTTTATAATATATTATTATATGTACATTTTTCAGTGAACTCTCTTCATTGTGTACCTATATAAATATGTGAGAACTGAGTATATACTAATCGAATTGAAATTTGCGATACTAACTATAAACTATATATTCAAATATACGACCCCTGTACGAGTATACAGAACAAACTACAGTGCGTTTCTATTTTAAAAGTCTGTGTTCTACTTAAAGTTAAAAAAAATCCTTATAATTTTAAGTATTTACCTATACTTTTAACAACCATTATATATGTATGCGTATGGATATTCTAAGAAATAAAATACAAAGTTATCCCATTGAATTGCGTTTGAAAATGATATGTTCCAGTTGAGTGGCTAGCTATAGTCTGATGAAAGTATATCATTTTTTTTAATAACAATGGTTAATGTTTTACGAGAAACATCTAAAGTTTCTGATTCGATTACCTAACCTAACCGAAGCAATGATTTATTTCATTGAACAATTATATATTTACTGTAAACCAGAAAATAGTATACTTATTATTCTATAATACTATATATAGGTACCTAGGTAATATCTTACGAATGACGGCACTATAAATGTTAGCAATTATTGTACAACTTTTAAAATTGCGTTACATCATCATGTCTTTACAAGATAGTTTAATTTCTAGATTTTTAGGGTTCTTTTTTTCACTCTGTTATTATAAGTTTGAAATTATTGAATGAAGTTAAATGCTCTTTTTATAACGTAAATATAAATGATACTAATTTATGATCGGTTCATGATATGATTTATGAAGTTAACAATTATATTACCATTAAAAATATTACAGAAAACAAAAATAGATAAAAAATATTTTGATTTAAATTAGATAGGTCATAGCCTTACATTCGATTTTATGAACATATTTTGTTCCAAGTATAAATATTGTACGTGTAGTAAAACAGTGTGTATAACGATTTAAAAAAAAAATAATATTAAATATCAATGTCACTAAACATCTATGGATTAACAATAATTCATGTATAGTAAATTTGTTTATCTTGATATTATTTTACATCTTCATATTATATATATATATATGTTCGTCCTAATTCCATGTGGCAACATTTAGGATCCATTAGGTTTGTTTTTTACATTCAAACGTCACTCGTTTACAATTTATATTATTACTCCATCAGTGGTATATTCGTAAAATGTTTTTGATTTTTGTCATTTTGTATGATATTTTCTAACTAAACACTAGCGCACAAGACTTGAAGAGTACTCAAAACACAGAAAGGAGTTGCTATCAGTTATTTCTGACTATCAGTACCTAATCGAACGACTGCATAATTGCATTATGTTGTCCTTGTGCCTTGTGGGTATCTCAGTGGCGATCAAATGATTTTTTCAAAAGGGGGGGGGGCTGATTGTTGGACATGCACTATTTGATTATTAAAAAATGGGTCATTGTATAATGGATGGTATTAAATTTGAATTCAATGATATGATATCATTGTATAAGAAAAACGATTCTGAGTGGAGACGGTATGTCAGTCTAGGTACAAGACATATTATATTATAAATATCTATGGTATTAAAAAAAAAAATTGACCTCTAATAGGTACCTACAATAAATTCAAAATTAATCATATCACAATATCCATTAGGTATTTATAACGTGTTATACATCAACAACAAACCGTGATACTATCATAGATGTATACTTTAGAAGTTTCAAGTACCCACGAATAATATTATACAATCACAACAAAATAACTAAAATAGTTACCTATTCTAGGTTTCTTAATATGTAATTTCATCCAAATTTGAACTTAAAATGAGTATAAAAATAAATTGTGCTTACGTATTTTTTAGATTTTTTGGTAACAGAATTAACTACTTACGTGGAATCTTGTTTTAAATTTTCAATCCTTAGATATAAAAGTTGAACATTTCATAAATTTTTAACTACAAAATAATTATTCAATTTTAAATTTGATGAATTTTTTCAAAATTCGATTTTTAAACGCTTATAAAAAAAATTGTGCCTCTGTATTTTTAATATTTTTCAACTGCTATTGTAACAATATATCATATAGCATTGAATTAAATTTTTACACTTTTTAGCCCAACAAATAAAACTTAATTGATATTCATAAAATAAAAAAATAAAAAATTGAAATATGAAAGTGTCCGTATACAGCTCGAAACAAGTTCAAAATATTACAAGTTTTAAATATAAGTATCTACATTTATTCGTCTTTGAATCATAATAAAATAATAAAATCGCTACATGAGAAATCGAGTGAATATCCAACGTTGTAAAAATTTGAATTTCAAACGCTCATAAAACTTTAGTTTGACTTTCTTAAGGACATTTTTTTGTTGATAAAAGTAGACAAACTTATAAAGAATCTTGTATTACATTTTCATATCTTAGATTTAAAAATAAAAATTGTTATGAATTCTTAACTCAAAATAGTTTGATAATTTTCGTAATTTTCCCATGTTTTGTCAAGATTTGAACTTTAAATGCTTATAAAAAAAACTGTAACTAAGGATTTTTAATATTTTTCAAATGTCAATGTAACAATATAGTAGGAGCCTTGTATTAAATTGTCAAGTATTTTTACTCAACAGATAAAGTTTTATTAACAATCATAGAAAAAAAATTAATAAAATCGGAAACTGAAAATGTCCCTAAACAGTTCAAAATAAATGAAAATATTTTGAAAATTTTATCGTGTATTGAAAATAAAAATATAAACAACCAGTGAAAATTGCATGTATCTACGATCATTTGTTTTAAAGTTACAGCAAAACCAAAAGTGGATTTTGCGTAAGAATTCCCATTTTTCCTTAATTTTTCTTTTGTTTTTCTTGGCGCTTTTGAAAATTACTGGGAATTTTAAATTTTGACCTCCCCAATACACCAACAATATTCACTTTCCAATCGAACAAGATACTGAAGTTGAAAATCGAAGCATTATTTCGACTACTTATCGTGTACACAGACACAAAAATAAATAAAAAATAAAAAAACCACACATCATTGAAAAATCAATACATTCATCGTTCCACTCAGAATCTAAAATATAATTTAGGTTTACCAGAACTTAAACATTGAAAAAAGGTCATGGGGGATCTATCCACGTTTGACCCCCACTAGGGTACCTAATAGGTAGCCACTTAAGTTAACAGAAGATATCCATTGATTTATACACTTGTATACAAATAATCAGATCGAGTTATTATCTAATAACCAATAGTGACAATGTGTAGGCTTCATGTAGGTACAAAATAGAAATTCCTCGTCTGGATATACATAGGATATAATATAACTTAAAAACATATTATACAGTATGTCAGTCGACTGTTATTAGTAATTAGAACCTTGATATCTGGAATGTAAAAAATTCTCCTTCAAACGCCATAACACTATTTATTGGATTTGGATACCTCGACATTTTTTTTTCGTTGTCATTGAACTTCGAGTTACTGATAGTTGACTGTGCAACATTTACGCTGATTGCTGAAGTCATACACCATTTGTCACAGTTTCACACTAATGTGTATTGTGTTATATTATAATTTATAATATAATATAGAACTTTCATAATATGGAAATCTATTAAAATGTCATAAAATACATTCAAAAGGCGAACAACATTACAGATAATAATTATTATTAATTTAAAGCTTTTGTATTTTCTATACTGTGTAAAAATTAATAAATTAATTATTACAATTTTCAGGGTTGAACAAAAATACGATTTAATGACAATTAGTAATTCTGCGTAGGTAAATGCGTTGCAAAATGTTTTGAGTATAGTAACCTCGGTGTTATCGCACTTACGGTGACAGTAACATAATTTACACTTTTATTATTATTATTATTAATTTTGTGTAGAATATTAATATATTTATATAGTAACTATTTGCTCAACTCGGGGAATATCAAGGGGTAAGGGTTGTTGGGGTCCAACGTATCGGTGCTAATCGGTGTCGGTGGTCTCGGGTCTTGTTCGGTGCAGCCGACCAACCAGTAGGTGACCACTGCTCCTTTACCCTTTAGTTCCACATCACCTCTCAGCTCTAACTTGAATGTTTGAAACGTGTCCAGTATGTGTTTGGTGGCCCAGCTCACATGAATTCTCAATGCTGTAAAATATAATTTTAATTTTAAAAATCCTATTGTGCATCTTATTATGTTTTTATGTATAGTTGGCTGTTATTTTTTTTTTGTTGGGAGGGGGATCAGGGTGTACATTTAAACTATTTTTTTGTAAAACAACTTCTTTGGCCTTCTAAGTATAAAACCAAAGCGGCGAAATGTGTTTTAAATATGATACTCAGTAGTTATTTCATATTTTTTTTTACTTTTGAAATACATTTTTGTTGTGGTCTGCATGTCCGAAAATTGAAAGTATTGTCCAACTATCAAGTACTAAGTGAACAACGATAAAAGTAATATTTATTATATTCATTAAAGTTTGTAGGTACATGACACAACTCAATACAAGTTTGTAGTTTGTACTTATAGACGTCATACCTATGCAAGTTGTATGGTATAAGTACTTACTATTACTTTATAATATCATCACAGACTGTTCTATCTAAAACCGTGGTTTGTACTAATAAATTACAACCACGAGGCAAGAACTAAAAGTCCTTATCGTTAAATCGTCAAAACAAAAAATCATAAAAATTAAAAAATAATACTTTTTAATTTCCATCAAAATATCAGTAACCACTTTTATAAATATATAGTTCTGTTTTAACTTGTTTTCTGATAATTCATGTTAATGTTTGATTTTATAAATACAAAATTTGTTATAACATTTATTTTATTTTGTTAAATTTAATTAGCCAATGAAAAATAAGATAAGTATAAGTAAAAAGTATATGGTATATGGCCTGTTAATGATTTTAAAATGGCCTGCAAACATTTTAGCACCAATAATGGACCTATACGCTTATATTAGGTAACAGCTTTGTACCATTGGGCCGAAGTAACCGTTGCGTTAGCAATTCCTTTTTATTATTCGAATATGCTTGGATTCATTGCATAGTAAAGTTATAAATATGCAGTATTATTTAACCGATAATGGAAATATTAAATACGTAGGTATTATTGAGATGTCAGATGTACAAATATAAAAATATCTGCCCTATGATTATAAATATGGTAAAATATTGGTAAAAACTTAAACAACTTATTTGAATAGGAACCACCCATTGATGACACTTCCGTTTTTTATAAACGTATTTTTATTTTTTCGGATTAGGGATTGTTGTCTAGCACCCGGTATCAGCGCCATTTGTGCTTAAGGGAAAATATAAAAATAAATGTATGAAGACTTTCACGAATAAACTATTTTGAATAAATTAGTATAATAGCTTAAATATAATTATTTAATTCTATCAGTTGAGTGAGTCGGTGTACAATACTGTAAGCGAATAATGTGCACGGCATAGAACATACAAAATATTACGTCTTCATCAATGTAGAAGTTTTGATAATATGTATGTAGGACGTAGGTATTATGTATACCTACTATCTAAGGTATAATTGATATTAGATGATAATAATATATTAATCATTAAAACATATTATAGGTAAAGATTAAGATTATTTAATTTAATGTTTTCATAAGTATTCATCAGAAGTTAAAAAAATGTTTTTTTTTTTTATATAACTAGGTTTTGATTGAAAATAAAATATAATTGACCTTTTGTGGAGAAAAACGGTGTCACTATTACATACGAGATAAGCGTAGGTATTTAGACAGTGCACTGAGTATACGTGATTCATTAGAAATAATCTTATTTCACTCTTCGTCCTATTCAGACAATATTATTCATCAATACAACAATAATATAATATTGTACTCACGTTCTCCAGTCGACTCCATTCTGGATGCGGTGTTAACGGTGTCCCCAAAAAGACAGTAGTGCGGCATTTTTTGGCCAACAACGCCGGCGCACACGGGCCCTAAAAAATGTCCCAAAAGTAATTGAAATCATAAAATCAATAAGTAGGTACTATTAAAATTTAAAATACATACATTTTCAAAAAAATTAATTTAAAAAGATAAATCATTATTATAATTAATAATGATAGTAATAATATACAAAATAATGAATCGTTGCTAAAATATAACTGTTTTTAAACCATAATATAGTACAATGCAATTTAACGATTATACATATTATTATAAACTCGAGTACTTATAGTGATTTTTCCAAAATATTATGTCATTTATTTTAGCACATATTCATGTTAATTGTTGTACAGTTTAATTTATTAGAACTTATTTTATTGATTTAATCAACGGAGCTGTAAACTTTATAAAATCATAATAGTAAAATTACTGTACAGCCTGTAATTTAGTCGATTAATTAATAAAAAAAAAAAAAAAACGAATCATCCAAACATACATAAATAATACATATGTGTACTATAATAATAATTAATAACTAACATGACCTGACTTTTTGTATGATCTTTTTTGAAATGAAATAATAAATGGTTTTAAATATGAATAATCAGTGAGAGTATATAAATTATCGTAGTCCATACCTGTATGAATTCCGATTCGAACTTTGAGTTGAGCATCGGGCTTATGTTGGATCGTGAACATTTGGACGGCGTCTAGAATAGCTAAAGACATGAGTGCGATTTCTTTGGCGTGGTTGTCGCCGTTTCTCTCTGGCAATCCAGAAACAACCATATAAGCGTCCCCGATTGTTTCGACCTAACAATCAAATTTCCTAGTGGTTATTTATTATGGATCGGTGTGGCGTGCGATATTTACATAATATTATTATTGTTATTATTATTATTATTATTATTGCAGTACATGAAAGCGCGTGGCAGGCTTAGCATTCTGCAGCGCTTATAGTGTTGTCCGTGGAGGTAATATTTTTTTTAAGCCGAGACAAAATAATTTTATTATGAAGTGGTTCCGCTAATGCAGTGACATAGTGTCGCCCTGGTCGAAAAGTCGATAGGTACCTACGTCACGTACTAACAGTACCAAATTCCACTGTACGAAAAGCGTTTGGAATAATAATAAAACAATTTTGACTATATTCACACATATTAAGTGATTTAAATGAGATAGGTAATAAAATATTATAAATGAACACGAAACACTTGTGGTCAATATTAATATTTGTATCATGTTCTGACCGTAACATCAATAAATTGTAGTACCTACCTAGATTATATTGTTAAAATATTACTATTTTCTCTCGCATTACCTTATAAACGTCGTAGAACCCAATGATCCGGTCGAACGTGCTGTACAAATCGTTTAAAAGGTTTACCACCTGAAAGTCGAAATAATAAAACACAAGAGATGGTTGATATAATAATACAACCTGTTGCAGTATAGGAGACATTTATTTCAATAGTACAACATAAATTAAGTACCTGCATCGGAGAACTCTGAGCACAAAGGACGGTGAAGCCAACGATATCGCTAAAGTACACGGTGACGTTTTCAAATTGTTCGGGCTTGACCATTTCGCCGGCCATCAGTTGTTGAGCAACTGGTCTGGAAAAACAAAAAAAAGTTATACGATCGAAATTCTCGAAAATAATATTGCATGTAATAATAAAATATTATAATTTTTAAACAATCAATTATCAATGCAATAATATTAGTATATCATAGTAATTTTATTTATATGACCTGGGTAATACTTGAAATAACAACTCTTCTGATCGGCGTTTTTCTTGGCTCAACTGGTCGGTTTTCTCTTCGACCAGGGCTTCCAAGTTATTTGCGTACTGTTCCATTCTCAGCACCAAGTCATCCATTAAATTTTCGCAATATCCCCTGTAATTAAATTGTTTCATTGAGAAATTTGCACTATTATATAACTATTATATTGTATAATACTCGGACGTTAAACTAAATATTACACAATATTATAGGTATATAATATCAAGCGTGTGTTTGTTGATGAATAAATATTTTTTTTAAACTATGTACGTAGTTAATTATAACTTTAAATAAGATTATTAGAATTCATAACTTGTGGTATCCTGTGTCTTTTTGTTAAGATTAATGTAGTTTTACTTTTTACTGCAATGTTTTAAATATCATGTCAACATGGCTATCTCAAGAAATGTTGTTCCAACATTTTCCGTAGCTCACACGGTGCTTTCTTGATAACTTAAAATAACATATTGTATATATACATATATATTTACTTATTATTTCATTATTGATATATTCTGATCTATACAATAATTATTGATCTAAGACTCGGAAGACGGTAAATATTGAATTCGATAGCTTTCTTCGTTTTCAGCGTTCAACTTTAACCTATATTATATACTTATTCGCCCTCTCGTAGGTCACAATATTTAATGTGGAGACGGGTTCTTATATATAATATATATATATATATATATATATAGGTGACTCTCGCTGTTTGTCTCTTTCCTATAGTTTCCGGTCTCATAACACGTACAGATAAGTTCGTGGTTTTCTCCTTTTCAACATCGTTTTGACGGATTGTTTTTCACGTTCTCTTACCGGTCTAGTAAATAACTGTCTGGCTTTATGTTTTTTATTTTGCTAGGAATTCGTGGCGCTCGAGTAGATAATGTGTTCGTAAAATTTCCGACATTTACATTGGGCAGAGTCGTGGTTCTGCAAATAAATACCTGCAGCAGTTAGTACAAGGCACATAAATGTTTGTTTCCTGTGAACAGGAAACCACAATATTACGAATCCTTAACGAATATACAGACGTAGTCGATTATAATATTATATTATAACCTACTATACAACCTACCTGTGCCAACTCGAATAGGTACAAATGAAATAGCTAAGTATATTATATAGCGAACAATGTATTATTAATAACAGACGTCCGTCATCACTTACGTAGAATTTGTACGTTGTAAAGTGAGATAATATAATATTATTGTTACCTCGTGATCTGTCGGACGATACTTCGCATGATGTCGAAGCCGGGTCTCTCTTCGGGAACGTCATTCCAACATCTCTGTATAAGTTCGGACAATGGTTCCGGGCAATCGTGTCCAGATATGTCGGGACGGAAATATGGTTCTTCGCGCAACCCGACTTTTTCCAAAATTTCTAACGTCATATTTGTAACGAATAATATTATTATCACGAAAACAATATTATTTAAAAACTACAGCAATTTATAATAACTAGCTCATAATATTGTGTAATTATTCGCACTACCTACATCATATTTGATTTTGGATAACAGTTTAATTCAATGGCTGAAAAAATTTAAATGGTAATGGTCGAATAGTATAATATGCAGTGAATTCCACTTAATGCGATCACTAGGTTATAGAATTAACCTTAATCGAATCAACAAAAAAAACTTTTACTCATAAACAATCAATATTAACAATTATTAACAATCATATGTTTGTCATACTAAATTAACCTTGTATTGGTGTGTGAACCACCATTTGAAGATTCACTGTGTAGGTATAACGGATAATTATTAACTTTTATAGCTGTTATGGCTTTAAAAGTTTAAATCAGTACCGTTTGTAATCATAATATAACATAGTTGTATCATAACGTGACATGTGTCAAATAAACGTCACATCGGAAGCTTTCGGTTGTTCCATATATAATATAACTCCTCAGATACCATAATTTAATTGCACAACGAAATAAAAGTCCCTTATATGTATGTGTTTTATTTTTAAGGTAAAAGCAAAAATAAATTATGAGATATTCAAGCTCAATCAATTATTGTTAGTTTCTTTTCATTTATTATTATATGTTGTATAGAATATTATTAGAATACATTGGTAAATAAAATCAAAATTACCTACCATAAACAATGTGATCACAATATCAAGCGAAACTCACTAGTTGTAGTTGGCCATATTGATATCGATTATTGGTATAATATATGATATTCAATATGTACCTAACCTACCTAGTACCTACATAAATATTTTCGTGTCCCCGGTCCCGGATTTTCATCCCAGTGTCGTCATTGGGTGACTTCCCCCTCCCTCTAATCAACCCACATCCCATTTACTTATTGTACTACATGTAAAGACATTTTTTGTTCAATAAAAAAAAAAATAAATAATTTACTTCACGACAATTTTTTCATCGCAAATAATAGATCCCTAGGTACCTAGTTCATTGTAATAACAGTTTAACGAGATAATATTTATAGCAGTGAAGGGTAGTATACCTAAAGCAGTTTCTTAATATTAATGGTATAAAATGTATAATTAATGAAATTTTAAAACAAAAATAATACATATGAAACGTGAACCATTACATTAAAAGAAAAATAAATAACAACACAAAATTGAGCCTAATTACCCACATAATATAAAAAAATTATAATGATAAAAAAAATTAAGCTTATCAATAATAGTATGTATATTATTACATATCTATATCTTATTATTTAAAACTTATTAGCTTGCAATATTTGAAATTCTTTGCAATGTCAATAATGTCTGAATACTTAGGTATACCTTCATCACGTCATCACAATACAAAAATAGATTTCAGATAATATACTATATAGAAAGTTATACGAACAACGAAAAATAGCGATTAGGGTTCACATGTGTCAGTTAAAATTTTCATTATGACTGATTCATTCCTACTGACGATGCTTTTCATTGAACAAATTGTTCATCGTGTGAACTCAGATACGATAATATAGAATATTGTGATCTGTGATTTAGGATCAATCATTTTACGATAAATTGGTCTTTGCGATCAATGTCATTCGTTAAAATACTAAAATAATTGCGATTGATTGTCGTGTGGTGAATTATTTACGATGAATTTACGTATATCTATACTTATATTTTTATATTATTAGTTATAAATCAGTCATCAGTACCCTGAGGTAAAAGAAAAATATGAAAATTTTCTAAGAACTATTCAATCACGTGGTATGGTCATCTATTACTGATTAAACATAAACATTTTATAAAAAATATAACTTTAATTTTAATTAAAAAAGTATATTAATATAGGTAATAAATTGTACTTCAACTAACATATACTAACAGACACTATGCTTTCCTCAATTAAAAAAGATTAAAGAATTTTAGAGGTTTTTAATCATCAATCTAATAATATTTTTTAAATTTATTTAAGCATGTCTCAAGTATTATATGTTTTTAAAGTTTACCTTGTGTTGTTAAGTCGTTTTTGACAAACTCGTAAGGTCCACCACGTACAACTATTTCTTCCAAGACAATAGCAAAACTGTAAACGTCTCCTTTTTGTGTAGCTGGTATTAAGCTATTAGTTTGTTCGGAAAGAAGTTCTGGAGCTACCCACAATAATTCTTACAGAAATAAAATAATGTGTATAATTAATTAACACAATTTAAATGTTTACTTTTAATCCGTTGAGTTATAAAAATAACAATGTGCGGTTGCATTAATAATCACAGATATATAGGTAGATCATAATATAGGTAATTCAATTTTATAATTATAGAAATTGATTTTAAATGTTTTCAGTCTTTCAAATAGAACTATACAATTATTGTCAAACACTGCCAAAATTAAAATTATATCATTGACAAATTTTTGGTTAAACATGGTTTTTGATGGATATGATATAAAATAAATTAAATAAACGAAAATGTTAACTTATCATTCAATAAAGTTAATAATACTTAATTAAATTGTATGTTTAAAATTCACCTTAAACATTTAAATATGTTATGTAATTGAAGTTCTGAGTAATAATATTTTATTGCATATAATATAATCACTGCTTGTTCGAAATTTTTTATCTTTATCTTTTGAAACTTTTTTTTGATTAAGAAACAAAATTATTGTACCTAATATTATCAAAGCTCTTTTTTTTATTAACTTCGTTATATTATATTATCACGACATTCCACGATATTATTATAGATAAATTATATTTTATTAGACCTAATAAGATTTTTTTTTAAATAACACTGTTTAAAGAAAACATGTTCATGGTATGACATAATATGACATGATCCTTTATGCCCAGACCTTTTTTTTATTTTAAATTCCTCACTCCAGCTTACTGTGGTAGTAAACACTATCGTGTATAACTTCCGAAGGTGTAGTGAGCGTCCGTAGTCCAAAGTTGGACAACTTAAGTACGAATCGTCCATCGATTAAGCAATTGCTGGATCGTAGTTTTCCATGTACACCCACTTCACAACTGTGTAAAAATGCCATACCCTATAGTTACAGCCAAGATCAAGACAATTATCAGTGCGATGCAATAATTCATTAAAATCATATCGAGTCAATATATTATTGGAAATAATGTTTGATGCCCTTCGCGATGTAATAGGTACCTTGACAATGTCGTGTATCAGTGACATTCTAAAGTTCCAATCCAACCTTAGAGCGTCGTTTTCCAGGACATCTTTCAAACTCCCTTTCGGGCAATATTCGGTAAGTATAAGCACTGTAGGACAATGGATACACGCGCCAATGAAACGTACTGTATTTTCATGTGTTACGTCGCGTACCTATTTCAAAATTTAACCAAATTTAATTTTATCTAAAAAATGTGTTTGAAGATCTAATCCTGAATCCTAATTACCTGCCATAAAATTTCAATTAGAGGATAATATGAAAGTTATTGAAAGCACAAACTGTTATTCAATTGAATTTAAAATCAAACCAGATCAAACAAAATAATCATTATATTGTACATGTACTAAAAACCCACATGTAACACTCTATTAGAGGCCAATGACCAATGCAGTAGAGGACTTGTATTTATAATAATAATAAAAAAAAAGTCATTACGTAAATTGTTGTAACATGTATTTAGTTAATACGGAGTTAAGGTAGGTAATAAATATTATTTGTATAAGTAATGTACAATTAACGTTACCTATATACTATTTAGGTATTTCTATAATATTGTATTACAATTGTTAGAATATCTTTACTATAGGAACTTTATTGTTAAATTATCAACTTTATTTACAGTCTGTGGACACTATACCTATAGGTATTGATTTATATTTTACTTTCATACCATTCTTGATAGTTTTAATTGGTAAGTACATCTGTTGATCAACATTTATTTTAAAATAAATTACATTAATGAAACGAAACACTTCTACAAATTAAACACAGATTTTAGTTAACAGACTCATTCAATGCACGTTTTAAGGGATGCTCTTGAGGGTAATTAAAATTATTGTATATGTAAATTATAATTAATTTACTTACTTGTTTAATTTCCCATAAAAGTTTTTTGTTCAAGTCGACTTTTTTCTTAACGACTTTCTTTATCGCCACCCTAGATCCCTGCAATAACAAGAATATAAAATATTAAAAGAAATCATTTTGAAAATTGGATTTTGTTTACCTTGTAAATACCGACTGTGGTGTATACTTGTGCCGGTGGCAACGACGAGTTTGAAGTGTCAGACCTTCGCCGACAGATTAATTTCTCTTGTAACGCCGGTTCGAATATCTATACGAAAATAATTGGAAAGGTTAACACGTTACACGACAAGGCTTTTAAAATAATAAGAAAAACACCGCAGTGGTCTTATAAACGGACAGCTTTTCGTAATAATGCTGATTAGAATGTTTTATTATTTTTTCCATCAGCGACAAACGACCATCACGTGTAATATGTATCGACACGAAGGTTTTAAAATCACACTAAATCCTACATAATATATATACATTCATTTTATAAAATATAATACGTATATGTTAGCTCAGCTTCTATGACAGGGAATACCTGGCCAGGGTCGGATTAAGAGTGTAGGCACCCCTTTATTTTCCGATATCAATCATAATTTGTCTTGGCAAGCACGTAGCTAGGATTACACAATTAGGGTGACCTAATTATCGAAAACATTTTTCTTAATGGCCAAAATTTACCCCCCTCCCCTCTCGGTATCGGTAAAGAAGAAAACAATACAGAAACAGACACAATAAAAGTCACTTTTCTATATCACATGTTAAATTAAAAGTAAACGATTTAACATTAACAAGTAATAATAATATTATACGAAGCATGCACACACTTTCGCAGTTGTAATACAATAAATAATTGTACTCTACACCTATAATATATTATAATATTATCATACCGTTATTTGTTATAATTGATTATAGTTGTAGAAAATCGGTGATATGTATTTATAATCAATGCTACTACGTATAGATATTATTATGCATACTATAATGTGCATAATAATGACCGTGGTACCCACACCAAGTAATGATGCTGTGATGGGAAATGCCGAATTACTGACACAGGAATGCAGATTGCGGGTTCGTGCGACTTTATAATAATTAATATAGTGATTGTGATAAACAATTGTGATTGTGTTAACACGACGAATACGACAACTGACAAGTATCTATGAACGATTTCTATTCTGAGTTCTGACAATTTGACCATGTGGTTCGCAAATCGAATTGCTTTTGACGCGATAAGTATTACAAGCTGTTAGGTATGTTCATAATATATTTTCTAACCGTCGTGAAAACACGGCGTCAAAGATAATAATTATGTAATAATAAAAAATATCATAATAGAAATTTTAAAATAGGTTTTAACTTTTTTTACTCAATTATTTGAGCCTTGGGTATTACTATTTTGATAATAATACTATAATGGGCTGGCCTGTAAATAATTTGGGTGGCCAGTCCACCCCTTAGCTACGTGCCTGTCTTGGAATTAAATATTTCGCATTATATTATTATCATATCCGTGGGTATAATTTTATATTGTTAGGTAATATTTCTTTTGGATAGGTTACAACATGAACATTTTGGAGCAGCGGAGCCTTCATTTAATATGGCGCACTGTTAATTGTTATAGCCCCTATTGCACGGTGTTAATACGGGCTTGTACTTGACAATTTTTTGCCGAGTGAAAAAAAATGTATTTTTTAAATTATTATTTTTATCGTGAATTAAACTAGGTTTTCATTTTTATTTTACTTTCTTTCGTAAAATATGTACATTGCATTTGATGGCATCCGATAACTTCGTAAATTCCTAATGTGGCCCTTTAAAAATATTAACTGTTGACCTCTGTTCTGTGAAGTGTGATTTAGTTTGAAGTTGATCAATAATTATAATTAATTGTAACAATCTATCCGCTGAGAGAATATTCTTGGATACCTATATATTTTCTTACATTATGGATTACATAAAATAATTGGGTTATTTGCGGAATAAAATATTTGTATTAAGTTAGGGATTTGATCAATTCGGTTAAGTTCAAAATAAAAATTAATTAAAGTAAGTAAATAATTAATTTTTGATGTTGATAAAAAGTTATCTAATAAAATCAAAAGTCCAAGAATGTGAACACATTTTTTTATCTTTGTTTTTAATTTTCACCAACGTACCAAGATTTACAAAATACAATATGAAAATTATTTAACTTAGAAAAAAGAACCTAGATTACAAATTATTGTTATTTTCTTAAAAATAACGATGGATGGATTGTGCTAAAAACAATGAATAATTAAGGTAGGTATATAAAAACTATCCATAATTCATTTACATAATGCACTAATACATTTTATTGCATTTAATTCCTTCTATGAAATAACAAAATGACAGAAGAGAATGTGATAATTTCACAAACAATATTGATGATAACCATATTAAAATACAATTATACAATGTATTAACTAATCAGTAAGAAATTAAAATAAGTTTAACCAGGCTTCGGAAAAAAAACAGTTTTTTTTGTTTTAAACAAACAAATATTCCATTTTTTGTTGTTGTTGTTTAAACACGTTGAAAACAAGAGAAAAAATATTTGTTTTAATCATTTTTTCAATCAATAGGTAGGTAGGTACCAACTAAAAAAGTTAATACAACAAACTCGATAATATGATTTACTTAAAAATATATATCCTATATAATCTAATCAAATTATTAAATAATTTATTTGGTTATGTTTTAAAATTAATTAAACAGAAATATTTTAAGTACAAAGTCAAATTAGATATGCAATTTATTTTGCTATTATTACTATACCAATAGTGATAGTTTTTAACATTTTAAAAATATATATAAGTAATTGTGAGATTTCCATTAACCATTTAAATTATTAATAATAGAATAAAAATAAATCTGAGTACCTAATCATATTTAGGTATCTAAAAATTAATATAATAAGTTGTTATTACTGAAATAACAACTAGAAAGTGTTAAAAGATAGAATTTAAATAGTATGTTATTATTTTTAAATTTGTATAGGTAGTTTTTAAACATTATTAAATATAATGTTAACAGAACATGATTTATCCATTTTGTATTTAATACACAATGTTTAATCTCAATTGATTGAAATATATTTGAATAGAATTTTTAAAACTACGAACCCTGTGTTTATCACATTTATAGGTATATATATATTTTTTTAAATATTACTATCTATCTATATTTTACTGTCTTTTATGTAATTTCGATTTTATGTAATTTTTATGTAATGTCAATTTCGACTATTGACTTAAAACTGACCCTGCCGGAAAAGAAATAACATAAGTGATAACATTAAAATTTGACTTTTTAAATAATACATATGTATTTGTAGTATACCTATATAATACATAAATTATTGGTACCTCTTTAGGGTTATTGCTGTTAGTTCATAATGCAGATTTGTTGTTTTTCGCATAATAAATTAACAATACCTAGCGTCCATACCTAATATTTATATGTTTAACGTATTTTGGAGCCACAAAGTCCTAGCCCCGGTAAATCGTATTATTGGAATAGATTTCAAAATACACTTGCACGAGATACCAACCCCCTTAATAATAATAACTGTGGTGTGATACATTTAGACGAGATCGCCGAGGTTTTAATATAGCGTATTGTTATGTGGAGACGTGGAGTCTAAGTACTATGTACCCTCAATATGCAATGTATATGATCTGAGTATGTACCACAATTACAACAGATAACGATGAAAATAATTATCTTAACATGTTTTTAAAAATATATATTTTAACCCACGAAGTTCATTACCTCAGTCGGTTTCTGTAGAGCCAAGCGAGATGAATAAGGTTTGCTGACTTCAATCAATACTTCTTCTGGTCGTACTCTCCAACTCATATTGTTTAAATCCGCTGCGAGTTTAAGCTGTCTGTTAACAAAACATAAAAACATTATTTTAAAGACCAATTTCTAATGTTTATTTTGATTCACTTGGCTTGAGGATTATATTGTAATATTATTAAGTGTGTACCTGTTAACGACGAAAGCCAATACGGTGACGAATGAAATGAACACGGAGAAAGCAATCAATGCATACAACATTATATAGTAAATATCTGTGTGTAAAAATCAATATTAAATTAGACAATTTACAAATTAAAACAGAGGATTAATATTAATATAATGTTCTAATAATAATTGAGTAATATAATAGATAATCATTATAAATGTTACATATTTTAAATCTGCAAAAAAAGTAAAACTGATTTTTGCCTTTGTTTCACAATGCAGTACCTATATAGTTTTTCTAATAAAGGGCACACATGGACTGAAACCACTCATTTAAATCATCAGATACCTTATCAAGAAATTGTATTGTCATTGGCGTTTAAGAGTTGTAAATAGGAGAGGCTTAAAGTTAAAACCTTCTAAAGATTTTATGAGGATCAAAAACCCTTTGTTTTTGAAAAGTTTATTTACTATACAGTTTGAAATATAGTTTCGTTTCTTAATAAAAATAAAAGAGGTGGTGGGGTGGCTTTATATTTCGATAAATATTTTAGGAAATATATCAAAAAGGCTTGAATAATTAATAATACCGTTTCAAATAATGTTCCTTAGTTATAATACTCTACTCTTATTAGTTATTACATAAGTAAAAATAAAGAATAATTAAGAAATGGAATTTTCATTTTAAATTTTTTAAAAGCTACTTTTTATTATTAAGACATTTTTTTGCCTATATGTTACAAAAACTGAAAAATAAGCTCAATGGATAAATTAAAATAAATTATTTTATTGAATACATACATTTTTAAAAGATAGTATATAATAGACTAGCTCGACAATAAACTATTCGAATTTGTAAAATGTATAATGTTCAATATATTTAATAACCTAACCTAAAATATAATTATTGAACTTCTAATTTATTATGTGAATTAACACATTAGCTGTGAGTTAGTACAAGAAGGGCCAATGTCAAAAACGACAATTGTTAGGAAATTTTATACTCAAATATTCAAATTTTTAAAAAAATTATAATAGTTATGGGTTATACGTTAAGTACCTATCTAGTTTTGGGATTTGTATGACTAAATTTGCTATCCATACTTAATTTAAAGAAACATTTAACATAATATATAATTCATATTTATCTATGGTTTTAACATAAGATGATCCAAAACGAATGACATTGCAGGTCAAATAATCTTTAATGTTTTTAAAATGTGATATTGGTCATTTTTGCCACAGACAATATTATGTAAATATAATATAATCTTAATGTAAGGGGTATATTTTAATGATTATTATATACGAACATTGTATGAACCATCATAAATTGAGTTATTCAAAGTAGAACTTTTACTTTATTGAAAAATAATAAACATTTTCACTGTAACAAACCCCAAATTCAATTTAAATTCAATTTCCAAAAAAAAAAAATACTGGAAAATAAACACATCGTTATAAAACCTGCAAATACTTTTTTTGTTTAGTTTTTACAATAGCTTTTTGTAGTATTTTATATTTTACGTTTTATTTGAATAATTATGATTTATTCTACTCATTACAATAAACGATTATGGACGAACAAATGTATCTTATAAAGCCGTCTGTCGGACCTATTCAAACCGAAATAAATCCATTATAATGCCTCACATGTTTTAATCGAGTTTCTAATTAAAACAAGAATATATTCTATATTTCCGTGAATTATTACGAACAATTCACAACTTTTTTATAATTTGATCCGTAGACAGTATTTAAGTAACTGTTTTGGTAAACTGTCTGTTACTATAAAGCTATAAGCACGATCAAGTCTTATAGGTACATATTTTCATGGTCGTATAAAGTCGTTGGATTATGTTAACTATAATTGTTTGTAGTTTGTGTTAGGCACTGTTAACATTGAGCTTATATTATAGGTCTTGTAATTTAATTTACAAACCGTCATTTTAATTACGTTTTAGATATTCCCGAGATTTTAATCAAATCAGTGTGACTTTTTGGCACGATTGTCAGAAATACAAGAGAAAATGGAACAATTTTTTTTACGAGGTTTTTAAAAATATATATAATTATTTTTTGTTTTTTTTTTTTATATTATTATTATTTTATTTACCTATATAGTTATTATAATTTATAATAAATTGATATTATATTATTATTGGTGATTTTATATAGTTAAAATTAAAGTTATTTGTATGCGGCTGTTGGACAAATAGTGTCGAATATATTAGGTATACCTAAAGTATATCTTTTATTCACTTAATCGATATTCATAATTCAAATTAAAAAGTAATATTTAGTACATTATTGTTATTATTCCACGTGGTCCCGTAGCCCCGCCTTTAGGACCTCGGTGACCTAAATATTTAATACTTAAATAATATATAGTGTATTTGTTAGAAAGCTCGTAAATATAATTACTTTAACGAAAATATTGAAATACACAACTGGCTCGCTAAAGTCCCGGATCGCTATATTTTATCATTAAAATAATGCCTGTCCAGCATTTTTTTTTATCCCGGAGAAATCGCCGCAACAAAAGATTCAAAAGTTTGTCGAATGAATCGACATTTAATAAGTATTTGAATCTCTTGAACCGTATATATTTTTTATTATTTGTTTAAATATCGGCTTTGGTAAATGTATAGGTATCGTATTTAGTATTAACACAGGACACTAAAAAGATAAAATATTGTCGATGCAGTGTTCCTTATTATCACCGACGGTGCAAATTTGACGAACTCGAAATAAAATACGAACTTGCGACGGATGAAGTTATATTCATCTGCAAGGTACCTATATACGCTAAAAACTTCCATATGGTTTCACTTTTTTACTTTTGCTAAAATCGTCAGTATAGTTATAACATCTTTGTTGATCGGATTGCACCGACCAAAAGATAGGTAGATACTGAGTGGTAAGTATTCTCCCGAAATCGACCTTTTCCATTTCGCTCAAATCAGATAACTGCGGGACCTTTCTATTATCACCAAAAAAAAGAAATTAAAGACTTCGTTATAATTTTATAAACACAGATTGTTGGGAGTGATTTTTAAAATGTTTACTCGCATATCTAAATGGAACGGTCAGCTAAAATAATTTATCAATTCTAACAAAAGCCAAACACGGTAAATAATTATTATGTTCATTACCTACTCCAGTAATACATATTTAAAACCAGTACGGCCATTCAACCATAATATTGTTTTGAAAATTATAAAACATTACTGGATCAGCTATCGTTTTTCGTATACCATATTTGATAGGTACATCATTGAATTCAAATGTAAAACATCTATTGCAGTTACCCAATCTGCAGTGACCGCGAGATACACCACGATACCTACAACTGTACAGCATGGCAGTTACTGCCCACTTTTTTACTATCGTCTATCCGTTCGTTTCGAATGATAAAGTGATTTATAGATACATAGGTAATAATATTTAATATAAAATATTATGGTATCGTTAAATTGGCCGGCTGACTAAGCACAGAAGAGAAAACCGTGCTCTGCGTGCCATGTAGAACCGTTATCGTTAAATTCAGCCTTGGCCAAAGGTTGCTCGTAGTTCTTTTAGTTTTTTTGTGCAAAAAAAGCAAAAGGTGAACTTGTACACATATAATATATATAGGCACCACGCTGCCACTAGAGCTTTATTTATTTTTGTCGGGGGAGAGGTCTAGAATTACATAGGCCATATATTAAGCGTACGCCCGAAGCTCTACGCAAAACGAACATTTTAAAACGACGAAAACTAACTTTGGATATTTCTTAACATTTGTTTTAAAACCAACTCACCGTTTTTCTTTTATCGCTGTAAAAACATTTCTTAACCTGACAAATGATTTGAACCATTCCAGGGTAATATAGTTCTTACTGGCTAAACTGTAACTCTAAAGTTAAACGCTAGCTCATATACCCTCGAGGACGTTGAAAATATCGAAATGCAACTTGCAAAAACCAATGAACGTGATTTGATAACCTGTATGGTATTATACTGATCGAATAAACGTAAAACACTCTTTATTTCAAAAACTGTTAAAGTTTTTGAATATATTTTTTTTACATAATTTTATAAGCAGTTAAAAAACCAAATTTTCTTATAAAAAATATATTTTTGCCCTTTTTAAAAGACCATGTGCATTTTTATTTCATTTTTCAAAGTGGAATAGGTATTTTTCGATCCACTTTAAAGTATAAACATCGCATTTTTTACGGGTAGCTTATGAGTTATAACTTGATAAATTATAAGTATTTAAAGTTAGTATGTGATTACTTTTAAGTAGAGGTGGGTCGGACTCGAAAATATGGTCTCGAACCGAACTCGAACCGAACCTTGGTATGTCGAACCGAACTCGAACCGAACTTTTTAATCGTATATCGAACCGAACCTTAGTATGTCGAACCGAACTCGAACCGAACTTTTTAGTGTGAAGTCGAACTTGAACCGAGCATTTTATTCAACATCGAACCACATCGGTAGGTGGCAATATCGTGGTTTTAATTTTAGTAATTTTACATTTATAATATTTAAAATTTAAATACATTATACATAGTCTATAATATATACCTAATATTGTATTATTGTATAATATACTATATAACTATATAGATTATAGATTATAGACAATAGGAAAACTAAAAATAAAATAAACACCACAATAAACATCGGGAACATTTTTAGTTCGAAACGTTTGACATGTTAGCATTTTTTGCTGTTCGTACATTTTTTGAGTTCGAACTCGAACCGAAACCTAAAGTTCGGTTCGATTTTTCGAACTTCGAACAGTTCAACCCACCTCTACTTTTAAGCGATGCGGAGTGGCACAGCAGTAAAGAAATAGGTACCCCGCAAAATGTTGGTCAACAGTACTCATTTAAATTTGATTTTGACAGATCCAAATATTACGAATAATATTCTACTTCGGGATATTTAATAAAAAATATATGTTGTGTTACAAAAGAGTAAAACGATAAAAAATTATAAAATTAAAAAAATATAATTTTTTTCCAAAAATGTTTTGTGATGACTATTACAATAACTATATGTAAAAAAAATATTTTCAAAAACGTTTGTGTTTTCTGAAATAATGCGTGTTGTATGTTAAATGTATCACCTAAAATGTATATGATTTATGATATTAAATTTTAACTTCTGCTTTTAATATGCATATTGCAGGTTACAGTCTTATTATAAAGCTATATTTATAAAACACATCCTACAAAATAAAGTCTAATACTTTTAAAAATGTAATTATAATAATGATGAATAATGATGAATAATGATGTGACTGATGATTTATAAAATGAGAATTAATACTTATACGATGGTGTTATTATTATTTTTTTTTTTTAGGAAAGATAGATATAGGCTAAGCTCCCTTAAAATCCTCTCCCATTCCCACGCCATATTTGCATATTTACATCTAATTCCGAGTAAAATATTACAAATACTGATTAATCGTAATCAACAATATATTATAACAATATTATGTGTGCAGTGGAAATGGGAATGTCATCACCTCTAGAGTCGCAGGTTGGTCCGTTTCCCAGGAATCCGCAGACAGGAACATGCTTAGGTGGTCCGTCCGATCCACCAGGCCAGTGGATGTGTTTGCCCACAACCGGGCTGTAGTTCCTTGCCTCCCCGTAGTACTTGGCCACCACCTCGAACCTACCCGTGATCGGGTCCAAGTCCAATATCGCGTAATCCGCATCTCTGTCGCCGTTCTCATCAATCCTCACTCGGCCCGTGACACCTTTTCACGACAACAACATAAACAACAACAATAAGTAATAAATAATAATAATATATATTATATTTGTATATACATAGTGTACCCGATGTACTTTATGATATTATAAATTCCGTCCCTCTTACGATCCACCAGGCACCACCAACCCCCAAACCATAGTCCACCGCAATAGGATCATCTCATCGTCTACAGACACTGATCACCCTAGCTCAATATATCGTTATCTGACAGAAATATTATTACATATTGTCAGTTGTCAGGAGGTTGGTGACGTGTGTGCTTGTGTGGGGTAGGGGGTCTTTGTTCTATTATTGTACATTTTGTCCTGCAAATGGCAGTAAAATCGTCCAAAAACGTCCAAAATTCCAAAAGAAATATAATATGTTTACACGATTTCACTTCCAAGCTAAACATACATTTTTATGGACAAATAATCTCGTGAATCGTGTACCTACATCAATACGAGTATTTTGGTCGTCTAAAATGTCACACCTACAGCGTTAAATATAACACAGGCAAAAACGATGTTTGTTTCTTCTTCGATTTCTCATTCGTACGGCTTACGAGGATTGTCAATAATAATATGACAGATAAGTATGGTGGATTTGGATTTTATGAGAGGGATAATAAAACGTAGACGTATATTTTTATTATATAATAAAAACGAACCTAAGATATAGGTACCTAGGTCAATTTATAATGTAGTCATGTACCTACAATTAAGTAGTGAATAACTCCATACCTATAGTACTTAAAAATAGGCGATTTTTCATTGTGCAAAAATTTGATATGAGTAACGTGTTTATTCCCATAAAATTAAATGAAATTAAAATTAAACCAGGCAAAACTAACGACTTAGAAAAGCGGAAGGCATATTGCAAACTTAACAAGTTTTTGGGTTTCAACATGAAACTGTAAACCATACTGAAAACTTCGTTGATCTGGTAACGGGGGTCCTATTGAAAATATAAAGTCATTATGGAAGTTGGGCAAACGGAGCAACAAGTCTTCTCCAGCGCTAGCTCAAGAAGGCATGGTGGGTGTTAATAAATCCAACTGATGTGTTTGAGGCCTTGGAGACGTTACTTAAAGGTGACAAATATGTTTTTAAATAAAATTATTACATTTTTCAATTTTTAACAAAGTACGTAATACATAAATGTTCACTGGAAATAATTTAGGTTAGATAGGTAATCGATTATAATATTATATTATTAGAATATTAAAACTCGTAGATTGTGTATACTTGACGAAATTAATTTACTATGTAGCAGGTAGCATTTTACTTAACGGATAATAGGTACCGACTTTAGTACATGATTATATTTAGTGTGCTTTAGGAAATATCGACTGAACCGCGTTTTCGAAATTTCCCCTTCGGTTGCAATGATATTTAAATATTTTCACTGATCCTTCGTATTATTTTATTTCCTATATCTATATAGTCACCCACGGTGGCTTAACGGTTTTAAACGATATTCTAATTTGCATCATTTGAGAGGTAAGCTAGCTATAAGATTTTACACTTGAATGCGCAAGAATGCTACTGAGTGCCAGCGTGTAATACTACTAATAACGTCCGTCTCAGATTAAACAACGGTAGGTAGAAGTTGAAGGTCAGAAGTATTTCAAATTAAAATCATTTTGAACATTGTAGGTATAATGGAGTTGGGTTAAATTATTCGTATACATTTATTATGATATACAGTATGTCAGATTCTTTCTGGAAAAAAAAAACGATAGAGCTAAATATAATATGGGTAATTAACTAATCATATTATAATATTTAAAATTAATAACAGTTTTCTAAATGTAATTTCTAATTAGATGACAGGTTTTTTTAATGAAATCTATCATTCATTTCTATTATCCGTATATATATTAATTACTATGTACTAAAAATGTTGTACACGAACCACTTGGTGCGTTAGCATAATAAAACAAAATAATACAATACATTATATTAAGCACATGTGACATGTCGTTTAAAAAATATATTATGGAATTGAATATTTGAATGCCATCTTACCGCTGAACGTTCTATTCCACATTAAACTGGTGATAGTCTTGCCGTCTTTGATGTTTTGTTTGTTGGTCAGAGTTTCGTTCATTGCCATGCCGAGCAAATGTACTCCGTCGTAAAACGCTCCGACGAAAAAATTTACCTAAAATAACAATAATATCGACCTTTACACTATCATCTCATCGTTCGTCCGACGATCGTTTTTATCGTTATCGTCATCGTTATTGTTTCGTTTGATATACTCACTTCTTCGCTCTCGGACAGCGTGTAGTTGTAATTTTCCAGCGCCTTTTGCTTGACCAGCTTAGAGAAATTGTGAAATTGTGAACTGGCGGGCTTTAGTAGGGACACCCGCAACAGTGCTTGGTAAGCTTTTCTAGCGGCGCCATCTTCACTGTCTCCCGCCGACCATCCGTGTTCACCCCAATAAGAGCCCTTGAAACGAATTAATGGTATAAACGCCACTGGTCGGAAAATAAAAGGAATGGAGAAGACAAACGTGTTTGAGAGGTAAACGTCCAAGGTGAGATTTTCATGTCTCTAAGATAATATTTTAACATCAGGAAATACGCGTTTAAAAAGGGTTTTTTCCCTTTTCATATTGATTGTTTCAATCCCGAAATCGTTGTGTAGACACTCATTATAATCTCATTTTTCAAGGTGGAAATCAGTTACAATTGTTATTGAGGGCATGGATATAAAATATATTGAAATAACTAAATAAGATAACGATTTTTTTTTTATAGGTGTATAATAATATATCAATATCTGTACAGTTTGATAGTCCTATAGTTGATTGTGATTTTTCCTACCAGTTCTTTTTATAATCTTCTTTTAAAATAACAGCAGCTTTACCTGAACTAACTCCACGTCCAAAAATGCCCAATCGCCTTTGGTCATCCCGAGCTTGTGTGCAGCCAACATGCATTTTCGCACTAACGTTCCCCTCACGCATAGTATCACAACTGCGCAAGATAAAAATAGAAGATTTACTATAAAAACAATTAAGTAAAAAAAACCTTTATTGTTTCCTATTTAGATCATTAGGTCTACTTCAAAATGTATTACAATTTTCAAAGCTTATATCTTTCACTTTCCAGTTCCCACTTTAATACATCACAATACTGCATAATATTATACACATAATATCACATATGTCATATTGATACATACGTCTTACAGAATACGAACAAACATTATTGTTTTAGTAAGATTATAGGTACTTGTATTTTAATCACAATTCCTAATTTCCATATTTCTCTGAATTTATGTTCAATAAAAATAAGACCTGAGTTATAAACGATTGACTCCAAACGGTTTCCTGCAACTGGCTCCTGTTATAAATTACCTATATTATCTTCAGTTAACAGAAATCTGATAGTTTTAGATAGGTAGAACATAGAATTTGTTGGAAAGTAAATATACCGTGTGTTCAATTTTAAAGGTAACAGGAAATATTTCGATCGTGTGACATTGAATTTGAATCGGGGTTTTTATACTGCATTTAGGACTTATAAATACATATTTTTTAATGAATTCAAATTTTTAATTTTTTTTTATCAACGCAATCGCAGTAAAATAAAAATTTCTTAAATAGCAACCACTATTTTGGAGACCGGATTTCGATTTCTTTATTTTTTCTGAACAACTTTGATCTTTACAGTTTGTTGATATCTTCAAAATTGCCATGTTTATGACGGTCGGAAGTTTTAAAATAGTTAATTTGTAAATATTGCATTTTTCAACGGTCTATCTTAATTTATAGGTATTTATAGGTATTATTATAACAATTTATTTTTATTAAAACTACTAAATTATCTACTACTATTATCTTAATTTTTTTTAATAGTATTATAATGAAAGTTATACTATTAACCTGTGTGAATAAGATATTTTGATAGCATTCTAAAATTGATTGTGAATAGTCAAACGTTTTTCGTAAGTCGCGCGTGACACATTATTTTCTGTACAATGGCAAACTATTCCGAAAAAACCGATATGGTATTAATTTTTGGAGAATGTCATCAAAATTCGCGTAACGCAGCGGCACTTTATGCTGAACGATATCCCGAGAGATATCATCCACCACACAATTATTTACGAATTAACTATTTTAAAACTTCCGACCGTCATAAACATGGCAATTTTGAAGATATCAACAAACTGTAAAGATCAAAGTTGTTCAGAAAAAATAAAGAAATCGAAATCCGGTCTCCAAAATAGTGGTTGCTATTTAAGAAATTTTTATTTTACTGCGCATGCGCTGATAAAAAAAAATTAAAAATTTGAATTCATTAAAAAAATACGCATTTATAAGTCCTAAATGCAGTATAAAAACCCCGATTCAAATTCAATGTCACCCGATCGAAATATTTCCTGTTACCTTTAAAATTGAACACACGGTATTCTGATATGGTAAAAATAAATGTTATAAATATTTTGATATGAATTTAAAAATCATGACAGCTAGGTACCTGTTGCCTGAGTGCTTGCCTCTTTTAATAAGGTTTCGCACTGTGGATCTTCGTCATTGCCGTCTAAGTCTCGTAGAAAACTCAAAACACCAGCTTTTTTAAGACCGAGTTCCAAGTTTTTACCTGTTAAAAAAAGTATACAATTAAAAATATCTTTTTAAGTGCGCTATTTAGCTGATTGAAATTCATAGACTTTCCGTATTAGTGGGCATTTGAAATAATTATTTTAATTTTATTTTCCAACGAAATAGTTTATTATGTAAAAATATTAATTCATGTAATGTTTCAAATAAAACAGTTTTTTTTTTTTTTAAATGTAATTTATTCTATATATACCTTATACCTATAACAAATACCTAACATGGTAATAGTAATGAATATAATAATCCAGAAAATAACAAAATACCGTGTAATTAATATAAACGAATATCGAAGATACAATACAATTAGTCGATCAACAAAATGCGCTGGGATATCTCACTAGGTAGTAGGTACGTCATGATCTTATTGCAGCCTTCAGATATAATTTAACGAAATTAAAATTGAAATTGTATTGAACGTTAAATATATAAACTACAACTACAAAGTTCGCACACAACATCTGTACAGGATTCTCTCACTGCGTTGTAATACAAATATAATAGTCTTGAGTTCAAACACTCGGCTTCTCCGAACATGTACCTAGGTATTAGGTATTAGGACTTAGGTTACTCTGATCCAATTTTTGTCTACATTTCCCGCGACGTCCCATTAAAATAATACGGTTGAATATTATGTATCATATTATGGGAAATTATATTGTTTCTCGTGCGTGTATTATTATTAACGTTTTCTCCGAGGATATCAAATTTCCCCTTCAGAGTATACTATGAACGGGATTACTAAAATCCGTACCTGTACAAAAATAAATATCATTTACGATTTTAGATAAAATGAACGTCTTTCAAATAGCTCATGTCGTAACGACAATATTCGAATATAATAATAATTATATTTGTTTTATACATCGTCGCGTTTAAAACCCGAATTTCCTATGAACACCTGCAAAATCCCGAATCCCGAGTATAAGCTATTTGAAGGCATAGCTATTTGGATACATACCCAACAATGTCTCAAACTCTCAACTACACCCAACCCCATTAAAATTTGTTTGGACTCTGAGGTTGAGGAAACAGTGAAATACTGGCGTCTGGGAAAGCCTGACGGGAACCTATATGTTCTGACAAGGATGACCTTGCAGCGACACACTTTAAGTTTATAAATTATAATATTGTTTACAAATTCAAGTGTTAGTTTTAATTTAATAAAGACGGTCAAAAAAATAATAACAATATATTCTCATATATATAACTTCGACCGCGACGTTCTAAGGTCTTTATTTGGCTTCAAATTCATTATATACTGCAAATGAAGAACACCACTCGTAAAAATAAGAATTATATATTTATATGAAAGATATAAGACACTGTACAAGGATGATTTACCAAGCATTGCTACCCCTCCCACAAAACCAACTACCATCATTCTTTAATCGTTCATTTTTTTAAATTCTAGATTTTTTCTCACTTCAAAGAAGATCCTGTGGGGTTACAAACTAATTTTTTTCAAATGAGAATCATACTTTTCATTTTCAAATATTTTAAGCATTGCTTAGGTCTTAGGATCGAGGTGTAGGATAATAAATAGTATTTAGGTAACAAATCACATGGAAACATAAACGGGATTGTACCTTTCTATCTTCATGCGACTATTCCCTATCGAATCGTTACTTTAAATTACCTAGTAAATTTTAATAAAATAATTATGGTCTATTTATAGAAACATAAAATAACGATTTACGTATAAAAACATCCACGTCATGTTATTTTAAGGTAAAAAGATATTAAGTATGCAAATTATATTATAATACACACAGTTAAATATTAGTTATTTTTTCACGTTATATTACTCACCCACTGTCAAAGAAAACAAATCCGAACGATCTTGTATTAAGGCCACGTGCTTCCAATTGAACTTTTTGAAAATACTTAGAAATACAAGCTTTAATCTGCGCTGACAGTATGACATTCTCGTCAGCGTCGGATAATCGGACTTGTCTTTAAAAATGCCCTGTAAACGTATCAATAATATGTGTGCAAATTATTAGTAGGTACAAATACATAATACATAGTATTTAAATCGATTCAGTTTAAAAAGCTTAGTTAAATTTTCAGGGTAAACCGATAAAGTACAAATTTCGCGAATGGTCATAATAATTCGTGTGCATCACTTGCTAAACTTTGAACAGGACAATTTGAAAAATTTGAAATGGAGTGAAGATGTGTAGGATACTTGTTATTTTTTTTTGAAAAACTGTAATCATAGAAGTACGCTCTCTGGTGCGTATCGACCAATAATTTATCATTTCAAAATTTAATTTAATCCGTGTCGCAAAAATCAATAACGAATTGCGGTTTTTCGTCGTGTAATAAATCATTTATTGCAAATTACGCTGTTGAAATTCGTTTTCTGAGAGAATTCGAACGATTTAAAAATCAGCGAGCTTGAAATTCATTATTACCATAATAAATTCATAATATTCAGACTCGTAACACTACTGCGTGTTTTCATAACGGAATAATTGAATGATGAATATAATTTACTATTTCTATAACTTTAATTTCTTTTTCGATTATTCGTGAAATGTAATTTTACTTATTTCACGAATTTGTTTATTATTATGTATAATACCCACGAAACATTTCATTCTCCTTTGGTTTACATTAAATTGAAATAAGTGTAAAAATCCTAATAACTTTGTAAAAATAAGTCATTTAATTTTATATAAAATTCATTTGAGTAAATGATTTACCTAAACGAAACTCCACAAGAATACAATTCATAACTCAACCATAATAATAATGTAGTTATGATAAATATTCCATTTTATAGAAACTTCAAGGAAGTGATTTTCATTAATTTATATGTAAATAATTGATATTATATTTGCATGTAAAATGAAAACCCGTATAAAATTATATGTATTATTATATCATCATGGTCATGAATTGGAATATCTTAACTATTAATTATCAATTCAAACAATATTATAGATTCTAAACACTATTATTTATGTATTGATTGTTAGTAGGTAATGAAATACCTATATCATATTCAGTATCTCTTTGTTTAAAAATAGAGTAGGTATTTACAATCTGTAGTATATATATACAATACAATAGGTTAATTTGATAGCTAATATTAGGTAAACAAAATTATGAAAAAAACGAATATTAATAATTTAGAGTGAATAATTATACCAATATAATTTATAAAAACTAATGATATGATTTGTTGACTGTTTACAGAAAAAGATTATTATTTAGGTATTATAATACGTGTTTTATATAGTTTTATACATATTATTTGTTTTCGCATACATATAATATATGTATGCGAAATTATTATACTCTCTATGTGTATGACAGGCTTACGTTAAATCCTATTATAAAATAAATTTTATCATTTTTATTTTTATTTGAACTGTTTACCAACAAAATTAATACTCAATATATTAATTCAAATACCACCCATTTATGCAAATATATTTACATACAATTTATGTTTATTAAAGTACTACAGTAGCTAGAGAGGTATTAAATATTTTAATTTTTCAATATCGAATAATAAAAAAATATATTTTGATCAAAATACCAAACCAAAGGTCCAACAGACGAATGAATTATAATTAAAAATTAAATATAGATTGCAAATACCTTTATTTAAAAGAAAACAAATGGTTTTTTGTTAAAACCCTCCAACTAAAAAAAAAAAAAAAAACATAATTATTTGAATACGACGATTTGAATGCAACAGTCTTAATTAAAAACAATATTTAGCTGGAATGTCTAATCGTTTTTAGAGTGCAACTGTTTGTGTTATCGTTGCAGTTTATAACAACAATAATTCACCTTTTTACCGAAACATGGCTTTAACTTAGGGCTCAAACTCAACGACACATTATTAACACAAGAACTGTGAGGGAGAATTTCCCTATTTATACCATTTATTAATTAATTATTTTTGGTACAGCTCCACTTTCCTTCGACTCAATTAGAAAATTATCCTAGTACTTTCCTTGCATCGACATCTTCTCCTACATCAATTCATCATCCTCCTCATATAATATCAAAGTCTTGCCAAACAAACACGTTATAAATTCTATTCTCGGTACAGGTTTTAAAATTTAATAACTTTTACCATTTTCCGAACTGCACGTGGCGCCTAATCTTTTCGTCATAAATAATCTTTTTCCTTCTATATAACGTAGAAAATTAAAAACAAAAAACACTCCAGCTGCAGCAGGAGTTTCCCGAGTGAGTTCGGAAATGACCCTTTATTTAATGTCCCGAGTGCGTCCCATGAAAAAATATCATATATTTGACGTAGCCCGAATGCGTTCAAGTTCATTTAAGTTACCCGGGGTGTCCTACAGATAGTGGTTATTGTTAAATTAATTTTATTATTTTTTTGGCTTAGACGTTTTAAGGTCAGATGAGTGTACTCATTTTTGATAGTATTTATTTTTAGTATCTACATTTTATGAAAATGTTGAAAATTATAAACACGTGTAACTACATACTAGTCTATTATGGCTCCCTATATCAGGCGAATCAGTATTCACTATATTCTCACACTTATAATGGGCCTAAATGAGTCGTAGTAACATATACCTTTTACCCACCACAGCCATCGTCGTAAAAATTATCTATAATATTATAACTGTATATATTTTGTACTATCGTAATTGATCATCGGTTGTGTCCCTTAAAAGTTTTTACTGCGGACCAAAGGATGTACTCTAGCTGATCAATATAATTTGTCAACAATACTGTGAACACACTCGGGAAATTCAATACAATTTGTCGATAACACTACAGACGTAATCGGGCTAGGAAAAATCTAAAAAATTAAAAACGAAACGCACTAGTGACGCCTGCAGCCTGCAGCATGAGACGATATGGTGACACGCCCGATGTGTAGCGAGATCTCTTCCGGATTTTTTTTTTATTCATTATAATTATTGTTGTTATGTCAATGCTGTTTTAATATTCATTATAAAAGCTCTTTTTTTACGAGCTTTCCTTTGAAGTCGGTGCAGTGTGATGACGACGACGAGCATTGCTTGTTTTTTTATCCCCCACACGCAACATATGAACCTACGATTTTATGGAGCGTTTGACACGGGTTATTTGTTGAACGCGAACACGACTCATGAATATTGAACAGTAAAATGTAGATACAGTGACACGCGGTGCCTATCATAATAATAATAATATACGGTATGTGTGTCCGCACACAGAACGGAAATGTAACACTTTATATTATACACGAATGCCGTACAACATAATATAGCTCATTAAAATATACTGTACGAAATATTCTCTGGTCGTCACGATATATTTTTTAGATGATAATATTATAATACAGTGGCAGACAACTATACACGCAGTTATGGAGGTACCTGTGATATTATAATACATTTATAATATGAGGGCATGTTGACAACACACAATATTATAACAATCGTAGGCGTGAGCACGGGTGGTGCTCACCCTTCACCAAAAACGACAAGGGCCCTAATTATTAATTAAGTGTAAATTAAATTAATGAAATTATTGACGAATTCAAAAATGTTGTTCCTTTTAAATGTCGATTATCATCAGAAGATTGTATATCTATATATTGCTATGTAATATTTATTAGAATGAATAATAAAATAAAAAAAAAATGTGCATTTGATATCTTTAATACATTTGTCTGTAGCTATAATTGTTTTCAAAATTATTGTGGGCCTTAATTTTTAGTGCGCACCCCCGGAACCAAAAGTCTGCGCACGCCTATGATAACCATACCGATTATATTATTTCTGTTATTACCTACATATTATTATAGTTTTATTATATTATGTTAAACTACACTAGGTCTGGTATGATAATAATATACTGCAGGATGCGACCGGGAATAATAATAAGACACACGTCATAATATTACAATCTCTTAGTCTCTCAGCTCCAAATTTACAAAATATTATTATTAATCAGTTCGGGGAAGCTGCTGCAGGTATACCGAATATTTGGTGACTTCATATATCCAACCCATCTCGTTTCTACCGGGGTATTAACCGAGGGGCTTGGAGAAAAATAATAATATTATGTTTTCGTATTATACGACGACAAAATCCGACGGCAGCTTTTGACGGTTTTCGCATCGCATATGCAAATCTATTTCTTCTCACGCTGATTCTGAAAGCTAAGTTCGGTATACTCACAGAGTCGTTTTTCCATTTCGGTAGTTTGCCGAGTATGCCCGACATGGCTGATACTTGACCTTCGGCTGGTGGCTGAAAATATATTAATATAATATTATCTACTGATGCAGGGTGATTCATAAATTATTATCGTCCCCATTTCCTTCCAATAACAATGCAGTTATTCGAAATCTGATTTTTGAATTTTTTTCATATACTAAAGACCATATTTTCAAATTCTTTTCAGATTTTTTTCACTACTTGAGGAGTGTCCTGCTGAGATACAAACTTCTGTTTTTCAAATCTACCCCTCCACCTCTTTTATACTGTAAATTATTTAATACATAATTTTTTTGAACATTTTGACGTTTTGACCTTATTCAAAGTTCGAACAATTAGTTTCTCAGTTATTAATGTTTATATACTAAAGATAATAATGGCAAAAAATTTTGAAATTTTAAAAATTAGTATGTGATATAGTATTTATTATTGAGAATGTAATATTTGTCCAAGTACCTACTTGGACTATTTTCACAAATTATTCAATAATACATGTACTTATATATATATATTTTATTGAGTTAAGGCTTCCAACATCTATAAGGTCATTAGCTTGTAGGTTATTTAGTAGGTTTTTAAGTGTGCAGGGGAAGGGTATGGTTGGTCAGAACAAGTGTATGTGTGGCGGGGATTTGCCACTAAAACTCAGGTGGTCTCCTTATTGGGAACTAGAGACACCAGCTGATGATTGACCTCAGAACACGTTAGTGTCTGGGGCAAACCATCTCGCCACACCAGGCCACACTTATATTTTTGTAAATCCCGTTTTAAGGACTATTATTCTTAGTATAAGTTTATAGTAATAATGTTTAAGTATTAGTATCTGAGAAAAACTACTCGTTTGAAATAGGTACATTAACATTTAAAAAAAAAATTATCCGCTAAATAATTTGCAGTAAAAAAGGTGGGTTATAATTTGAGGAACACACATAGGAATCACTGCAGAACACTTCTTATATGATGCAAAAAAAAAATTCAAGAATTCGAAAATATGGTTTTTGAGTAAATATAAAAATTCAACGAATTGGAATACAATATGTATTTTTAAAGAAAAAAAAATAGAAGTGAACATGCTCGGTGAACCCACCCTGTTACGGTATGATCGTTTTTAGTTAATTTTTTCCTTTCGATATCGGAAAAATAATAATAATATTATTAAAATGAATCGTTAATATTGATTTTATGCACAAACGTTATGTTGTACACGACTTACTTGGTCGCCCATTCCGGTTATGATCGGTAGATTCCAAAACGCGGCTAGTCTGGCGACGGGTTCCAACGCGAAAGCGCACGCTGGTCCGATGAATGCGATGACTTTATCGACAAAGTACATTTTTGCAGCCAATCCTGGCGCTTGGGCGCCTGAGCAAGATGGATAGCTAAAAATTCAAAACGGAAATTAATTGCAGGTTAGTTTCAAAATATATAATAACATACTATGATATGGTATGGGTCACATAGTACCCCATATAGTCTACATATTTAGGTGGAGGTATGCGTCTCTTATATAAGTGAGCACAATTTATATTTGTATTAAGCTACAGCCTACAATTTTTCAACGTCATGTAGCTATTGGAATAAAAAATAATATTTTACTCGCTACTCAGCTACTCCTATTGGTATAAGAATAAATAGGTTGTAATTTTCGGAAGGTAAGTTATATTAATATGTATAACGCACAGTCCAAAATGTAAATACATAAAACGAATTGCAGAAAATATTAAATATATAATGATTATGGAGAGACATATTATTATTATTGTACGTGTAATATTTAATTATAAACGTAGGTATCGTAATATAATATTATAATACGCGTCAATGGCGGTCAAACTAGGTGTTACTACTTACTGAAGATTGAAAGGGATAGATCGCCTTACCTTTTTTTCAATATTTATAATAACCTATATAGGTTAAAACGGTAATCAAAAATTATATTTTTATGATCAAATGGAGTATGAATCAGTCACACCCCCCTCTCCCACCCTGACAAAATAACTTGACCACCACGGTCTATACTTAAATGTTGAAAATATGACGCGCAGTAACTTGAATATTTTCTAACATTACTTGCATCCTAATATATTTTAAGATATCATGATTCGAACGATAAATGCATACCTATAGGTATTTGATTCCAGCATCTTTAAGTTGTGTATATACTCTACTTTATATTGTGTAAATAATAAATATAATATAAATACAGTAACCAAATGGACTTATATAGACAAGGCAACTATGTGAGAACAAATAATTATAAATATCTATAGCCAGAATAGGCCACTCAAACCTTATTCACTTTAATTTGATCACCAAGGAACCCAAACCATCGTGTGAGTGTGTGACATAATATGCGAAACTCATCTTACAATCGCTCACATAATCATTCACTGCCCCAAATACTCAACTTGGCGTCGTCTCATTGCCAAAAGAAACTCTCAATCAACATAACACCACCGTTATTTTAAAATTTTTCAAACAAGTAGACTTAGACAAAAAACTGTAATGAGGCCTTATGTAATCTTTACTCTAGGCTAATTATCGTTGTAATTGAAGCCTTATTACTTATTACTAATTAAAAAGAACAATAAAAATAATAATATAAATATAATACTTATTTGAATTTAAATGTCTAATGAAAACTATAAAATAAACAATCATGTTATTCAATTAATATATTAATTAGTAATTATTATATTTACTAGAGAATATCGTATATTATTATAATTGTATTGCATGGCTAATCATCAATCAAATGTTAATCAAATGTTGGGAAAATCGAAGCAGTGTTACTGCACAAAACACGGTGATGAAAGACACAAAAATGAATAATCAATTAATTAATTTTAAAATTTTAAAAAAGTACGCCTCGCTGTAAAATAAATTAGTACATTCATCGCTCCATTCAGAATGTAAAATGTAAAAAGTGTCCACATGTATAGCACCTATCAGTATTTCAATAACTTCAAAACTGAAAACATTGTCTTCGAGTAGGTACTACTATACTACCATTAACTCGACGTAGTAACGTATAAATAATACAAAATATTTTATAAATTGAATAGTTTAAAAAGAGCATTATTTATATTTTCTACATTTTAAAGAGTATAGAGCATTGTGCATTTCATTATTTTTTTTTCGTTTTCTGATTTTTTTTTTACCTATAGAGTAATTCGTAAATTCATATTTTCAAGGTGACTTACAGTGTTATTGTAAAAGCTTTGTGGAAAATATGATTCATTATTATTACTATTAAGGACGACATTTTTCACCATATCTACCAATACATTGTTATTTTTATATCGAGAACCCTTTTATCACGTCGTTGCTAAAATCGGGGGTTGCAATATTTTTATATACCTACCCGTCTCTATGGCTATATGTATATCCAAACGGCGGCTGGAATTTAATTTGATACTGCCAAAAGAAAATAAATAATAATAAAATAATATTTTAGATAGGTGGGTACTGGTTTTACTGCAGTGGGTGTTTTACCGAGGACAGACGGACAACGAGTGCGAAAACCTCGTAAAACACACAAAAGTGTTCCGTTCGATAATCTCATAAATTTCCTGGAAATGGCTGACCGAGAATTTATGCTGTGAAAATTTCACACCGGTCGAATGTTTTATTCGCACACCGTAAAGTACAAAAAGAAAAAACAACAAACAATACTGAAATAATAATAATAATAAAAAAGAGAAAATCATTTTAGCTGCGATATTTAAGTAATATATTTTATATTCGCCGAAGGCAGTTTATTTTTTCAACGTGAAAATCAACTAATTAAAAATAATACTTATTCACCCAAACAAAAAAATATGAAAAAAGTTTAATTTTAAGAATGCGAAAATGTTCATGAAATATTGACCGTACGAGTGTCGAACTCGAAAATATTATATCACACGATATCATGCCTAAACGACCGCTAAGACCTAAACGGTGTACTTGTCTAGTTGGCTATAACATTATGTTCAATGATGAGGAATCTAATCTGTCACTGTCAGTGCCAAATTAATTGTAATTTTAACACAGTTATTAACCCCGTCAAAACTATATTATTATTACTTAAATTCCTCTGGAAGAACGCTCGAAAGCCGACATTAATACATTATGCAGATATCTGATTTAACCAAAGTTACTTTATTTGAATCACATTATTATCGGGGGCCTCTAACGAATTCGTAGATAAATTAATTCACATAAATTTACACAAATTCAAAAATGTATCAGTTGTAGGTACAATTAATATTATTAGTTCAACTTGAACCCCGGCATCTTATTTTTTAAATCTATTTAAATATGGTTTTTTTGTTTTGAATGTTTTGATAACAAGCAGTTAAAATAAGAGTTATGCGCATATACTTTTTTTCAAGCGTTTCATATCGAGGGTTTCTATTTGGTTTTTTTCTGAGAAAAAATAATTTCATATTTGTACAAATAATAACTGTATCGCACTGCAGAAATGTTAACTTATATACCTATACTAAAATAGTACTATGAGTGAACCAATTATACTCGTTTAACTAAACCGTCTAAACGATGAGAAATATTGTTTAGGTTTAAGCTGTCAACCTTTTTTTATAAGTAGAAATATAGATTATATATTTACCTATATTATACTTGTTGATATACTATAGTCTAAAACCGTAATGTCTTATATGTCTCGTTAGACCGTCAATTGGTATTATGTATTTTTTTTTTTACGTTTAATTTGAGACTATTTACAATTATTATTCATTGATTCAAAACTAACGAATTTCAAAAAAGAATATATGTCTTACAAAAAAGACTTTATTGTTTTTGTTTGATCGGTGTGCGTTTTGTAGTTTTGTATTTATTGCTGTAGGTAATAAGAGGATATTTTCAGATACTACTAACATTGTTTGATATGTCGCAGGACATCGGATCGCTATACATCGTTGCCATGATATATACGTACATTTGACCGATGTACACGATATTATGGGGATTGGACCTTTGACTAATGAGGAGTACAACTAAACTGAACAGTATCGTAGATGAGGGTTCGATCGTAATTAGTAATTAATATAAGTAGGTACGATAACGATTTGGTGTATCGTAAAAGTAAGATCCAGACGTAGGTCGGAATTGTTGAAAACGTTACATTTTTCATTGTTCATTATTATCATTTAGCATTATTATTATTATTATTTTTATTATTGTTATTATTATGTTGTCATACGTGCTTGGTATATGTATGGTATACATGTATACCTAATATGCTGGTAGTTCTAGTTTGTAAAGTTTTGTTTGTTTATTTATCGGTGGAGAAGATGATGATGATATTGTTGGTTGGTATTTCTGGTCTTGTGGTATTATAATGGTAGGAAAAGTTTGGGATGCCATTTCAACGATTTCTAATGTTTCTTCTAATATTATCAAGCAAGGGACTTATAGAGAAGGAAAGCGTATATGGATTGAAAAATTGTTTTCAACCAATATTATACCAATGTATTTCAATATAATTTTATGATAGGGAATAGTTTGGACAATTATTTAAATTATTAGCTGTATAATTCGACTATGATACTAGTTGTACTGCAGTACAACAAAATATTTAGAGTGGAGTGTTATTACTTATTTACTATATTACTGATTATATAACAGCCTGCAGTAAAAAAATTTCTTTAGGATTTACTGAAATCAATATAGCACACCGTAGACAATCAATCAATTAATAAAATATATATTTGTATATAATATTATATTACGTATTTAGGCAAAATGTGTTAAACGATTATAATAGCATTATTTAATGATTTAAATATAATAAAATATAAATTGGTAATTGAATTTTAATTATAATATAACTAGCGTATTAAAAATTTTGAAAAAAATAAAATAGGTACTGCTTTACTCCAAAGTATCAAAGTCGCAAAATATCGAACGAAAAATTTTAGCATATAATTAACGACGCAGATAGGTATATTTTTTAGGGTTTTAAAAAAATAAAATACTATTCATACGCAATATAATATTTTAAATAACACATTTGTGATTAATTGCAAGTAAATGTCGATACAATTAAGTATTATTGCCGATCAGATTAAGGCATCGGTTGCGACGCACACCGGCGCAGGTTCGAACTCGGCCGTGGGTGGCATTTTTCTTCGGGCAAGTCACGGTGTCCGGAGAGAGCCACCCTGGCATGGCAGATACCTACCGGTGCCCACTAAAAAATCTGCCAAAACTAAAAACACGCGTGCTTACAAACCTAAAATTTCTCCCCTACAAGCAAAAAACAAACAGCTAATGACAGTAGTTGTCGGGCTTCATAATCAATTTAAAAAAAAATTAAGTATTAAATAAATATTTTGTTTACCAATTTAATTTTGAATATTAACTTATGGTTTCT